TGTCAAGAAGACAAAGATTCCTACCACTGGACCAATTGCCAGCATCAGGATGAATGGTGAAGAGATTGAGATTGTTACCAACTTCTGCTTGGCTCCACAGTCAACACTCTTGGCACCAGCAGCCAGAAAATTAAAAGACGAATTGCGATGGAAAAGTCTGCTGTTAGGGACCTTTCCAAAGATCTGAAGAGCAATGGTGTCACTCTGGTGCGCCTGATACAGGTCATGGTCTATGCAATCACTTGTTATGGATCAGAGAGTTGGACAATGACTAGGGAGGATAGAAGGAGAATTGATGTCTTTGAGCTGTGGTGCTAGAGAAGAGTATTGAATGTACCAGGGACTGCCAAGAAAACAAACAGATTCATCCTTGAGAGGGTTAAACCGGGCTGCTCCTTGGAGGCAAGGTTTCTGGGGCTTCATCTGACATACTTTGGACATGTTGTAAGGAGGGACCAGTCGTTGGAGACATCATGCTTCGGAGGGTGGAGGGACAGCACAGGAGGGGAAGACCCTCTATGAGGTGGATTGATTCAGTGACTGGAGTAATCGGGATGGGTGTGTCGGAAGCAGTGTAGTTGGCACAGGCTAGAGCAAGGTTTAGGTCTGTTGTACATAGGGTCGCTATGGGTCGCAAGCGACTCAACGGCACATAACAACAACAACATCTTTGCCAATTTGAATACCTCTTATTCCCTTCTCTTGTCTTATTGCTATCACTAAGACTTCCAATACAATATTGAGTAGGAGAGATGATAGCAGACATTCTTGCCTTGTTCCTGTTCTCAAAGGGAATGACTTTAAACTCCCTCCATTGAGAATGATGTTGGCTCTTGGGTTTGTGTATGTACTTCAAAAGCACTTTCACAAGCACCTTATTTGTCTCTTCTGTGAAATAGTATTCACCTTCAGCTTACAGAGGAAAACTCTGAGGCTCAGATTCCAAGTCATAATAATTCTATAGCCCCATAGTATTTTCTAGGCTATAATATTCACAAAAACAATTTACCAGGTCTTTTCTCTCACAGAACAATTAGGTGAGTTCAAACCACTGACTTTTCTATGAGTAGTCAAGCACTTAACCATTTTACCACCAATGCTCCTTCCCACTTACATAGTCATCACTTACTTATTATGTTGTTGATAACAAATGAGCAGCCTGGACTAGTTACCAGGAATAGAGACATCTTGTCTGGCTAACCAGAAGTCATTTCTTCATTTGCCCTGCCTCAGTGCCCTGGGTTCTTGATTATACATGTAAAAATTGTTAAACTGGTGAATATTTTGTTATATCTATTTTTTACTACATTTTTTAAAAAACACACAACCAAATTAGAAATAGGTTCACAGTTTAGGTAGAATTTCTAGGACAAAGACAGTGTAAATGCCCCAGTAAGAATAAAAACATAAAAATCACTTTAAGTGACTTCTTCATAAATAACTGAAATAATTTGCTTTAAATATCATCTGTATCTGATGACTCCCAAGTGCTTATTTTATGTTTCAGTCTCTGCCCAGAATTCTCAGTGTTTATACCTAACTGTCCATACAACATCCCCATTCGATTACCAAATTGGACCTTCAAGTTTAGCTAGTTGACAGCTGAACTTCTAATTCTTTACCATCCATACTAAACCAAAAATCCATTGTTATCTAGTTGATTCTGATTCATAATGACTCTAACGGACAGAATAGAATTGTCCCTTAGATTTTCCAAGGCTGTAATCTATATAAAATCACATATTTCTCCTAAGGAACAGCTGGTGATTTCAAACTGCTGATCTTTGTTTAGCAAATTAAGCACTTACCTACTGTACTAGCCTAAAACTGCCCAGCACCATCTCAGCAGGTGACAATTCCATTCTTCTAATTGCTTCACTCCAAAACTTGGGTGTCATCCATGATACACCTGTTTGCTATGTCTTTCATCTATCAGCAAATATTGTTGGTCTATCTTCAAAAATAATCCAGATTGCTCCCAACCTCCACCTTAGACCACCTTTACCATGTTTAAACTGGATTGTTGAAATAGTCTCCTAATTAATCTCTACTCTGACTACTGTGTGGAAAACAATAGAATGAGGGAGGGGGTAAGAGTAGTAGTATTTTAAGAAAGCCAAGCCAGAAACACTGTATACAAATTTTGTAAGTAAATCAGTATAAAATAAAAAAATTTAAAAAAAAAGTTGAGGAGGATTGGAAGGGAGTGAGAGCGGAGTAAGCATTAATAAATAGGTAAACTGGCTGAAGGAAAAAAACAATATATAATAAGGGGTTGATAGAAAATTTGCAATTCATTAAATATATTCATCAACGGTAATTGATGTTATAAAATGTCTAGAGATAATTGTATGATAAGGTTCGTAAGCTTTGTAAGCCTTGAGGAAAACAAACAAACAAAATAATAAGGCCAAAAAATCCCAAACTAAGCCAGAGCAAGTGCCTTCTCTGTTTAAACAACTCTGTGGGTTCTCAATGTCTTTGCAGTAGTTCATACAGCCCTACAAGAGCTGGTCCCTGATTGTTCCTTCTCTGCCTTCATTTTCTACCCCTCTCTCCCTTACTCCTTCAGGTCCAGTCACACCAGCTCATCCTGGGCTCTCCTTCAACGACATTGCACATTTCATTCCCTCACTTCTTTCGGGTTTCTTATCAAATATTCCTTTATCACAGGGTATCCCATCCCTTACCATGTTTCAATTTTCCTCATAACAATTATCACTTAATTCACCTCCTTGCTTATAGTTCTCTTATAGGAGAATTGCAGGAAACGTGGGGTTAGCTTAGAAAATTCAAGATGCCCATTTAATTATCAGATAAAGAAAAGGTAACTTTTTGTATACTTCCAAAACGTTGCATGAAACATACTGAAATAATCGTTCATTCTATATTCGAAATTCTAACTTTGGCTGTGATCATATAGTGGTTAATAGTATTTTGTGTTGTGAAACTCAAGCTTTATCTGATACTCTGAATTTTGTTTAATCTCCTAACGCAGTGCAGAGACAGAGACGGTTTCGTGCATTGCTGTACTACTTTCAGGGCTAGAATGTAGCTCCCAGAGCATAATAAACTTTCAAGAAACATTTGTAGAATAAATTAACGTGTTCATAGCACAGTGCTTCGTTAATCTGAAGCACGCTTAAACTTTATAAACACTGCGAGTCACAGGGGCGGAGCCTCTAGACTGGGTTGATCCAGCTCACAACTGACCCAGCTTATGAGCTCTGTAAACCGGACAAGCAGCCGGACGCTTCACATACCCGCCCCCGCTACCCTAAGAACAAAACTCCGCCCAGGCTCAGGTGAGTCTCTCGTTCCAGGTGACCCTCCCAAGGAGGGGCTACCTTTAACCAGCAGGCGAGCCTCACACCTCTCCAAAGCCAGGGCCCCTTTAAGGCCCCGCCTCCTTGCTATCACTCGCGTCCCCGTGAGTGACGTCACCCAGGCGGCAGACCAATGGAGGCGCGCCTTACTGGCAGGCGGCGCTGGCGGCTGCTGCCAAAGGGGAAGTAATCTGGGGCTGGAGTGATGGCCCGGCTCTGGAGCGCGAGTTCGCCGCTGCCGCCACCTGCGCGTCGGGAACAGCCTCGGCCTGAGCCGGGCTGGGGGCTGGAGTCACAGCTGAAGTGGGGCCGGCACGTGTGAGTTGCCGAGAGTTACCCGTGCCGGAATACCTCAAACTCGGGGCAGGACCGCTTCAGGTGGGGTGAGCCCCGGAGACACCCTTCAGCACTGCGACCCCCACCCCCCAGGCCCGAGCACCCAGACTGGGTCTCCTCCGGCGCGGGACTGGCTCCTCTCAGACCGAGCCCTCGAGCTGGGGTTTTGAGTCTTCTTGACACGGGCTTCCTTCAAACTCAGGACAGTGGCTGGAGAGCAGTGATCATCCCAGACCTGGACTTCCTGGCCCGGGCACTTTCTTGGCGCCGAGGACTGTGTCCGGGTGGCAGTAGTTAGGAGCTCCATCCTGCTGCTCCTTGTCCAGCCACGAGAGGGGCCTGCGTGTCCCTACTGTCTAGCTCAGCACTCCCCTCTTTTCCCCTTCAAAAACGAGTTTTGTTTTGCTCGCTCTGCACCCTCACCCCACCCTGCCTTTGGAAGTCCTGCCCTAAAGATCCAGAACACCAGTGTGCCGTTCCCCAGCTCCTAGAGCACCCTTAGAAATAGAACCTACTTGATCAGGGTTAAAAATCATTCTTGATTTTACTTCTTCCTCTCCCCCCACCCCCGCTTGGGAGATAAAAAGTTGGTTTCTTTCCAGCCTTTTATCTAACCGATCCAGAGCCTTACAATTTGGATCACCAGCTCGCTGGCTACCTCTATGACACTTCTCCAAACCAGTAGAGTTCCACTCCTCTCTGAGCTCTAATCTCTTGTCCCTAGTAAACCTAGTCAGTCCCACCCCTGGGTGGGAGTGACTTGGGGGAGGGGGGCTCCAGCCCAGAATTCCTCACCCTGGAAGGCAGCTCCAAGGCACCCAGAGACCTGGGCGTCGGGTACGAACCTGGCAGCCCAGGAACGGGTGCTGCACTCACCCCACACAAGAAGATGAAGAAACGCAAAGAGCTTAATGCATTGATTGGCTTGGCTGGGGACAGCAGGAGAAAGAAGGCCAAGAAAGGCTCAGGCCACCGTCTGCTTCGCACTGAGCCACCTGACTCAGACTCAGAGTCCAGCTCCGAGGAAGAATTCGATTTAATTGGGAATCGCTCTCGCTTCGCCAAGTGAGTGATGAAATTCTGAGAGGTGGAATGGGGAAAAAGATATGCCTTTGTAAGGGGCACATTTAAGGGAAGAATAAAGGATATAGATCTTGGAAAGCAAAGAGATAAAAAGTGTTAAGCAGAAGACAAGTCCAGATCCTAAATGAAGGACAGTTTGGGAATCTGTAAGCGTGAAAAGAACTTGGAATCCAGGATGGAAATATGGATGTAAAGGACGTGCTAAGAACACAGGGAAGCAAAGATGGAAATAAAAGACATGCTAAGAATAGGGATATAGGGGCAAGGGAGCTTTGTGTATTAAGCCTCTAAAATTGAGGGGGCAGGGAATGTAGTAGAGACAGGGTCTTCAGACTGCATATTACTTATTTATTCATTGTAATCCTAATGAATCTAAATCTTGGTGATGGGGAAATACGATGCAGGACATGATATAAGAAGTATGAGCTTTGAGAGTACATGGAGGGTGGAGACAAAAAGAAAAAGCTTTCCCCCCCACCCCCCATGAGTGGCCACTGAACAAATCAAGTGGTAGTGAACAGGAAGACATTGGGAATTGGAGCTCAGAGTAGGGAAAGGCTAAAGGGTAAACTGAAGGTACTCTTAGGGCTCTCTCAGGAAGTATGCTAAAAGAAAAAAGGATTGTGCTGAGATCATAGCAAATTTCACACCGAGCATTGGGTCACTTAAATCCTAGAAGGAATTTGTTTAGGGTGTCTGTGCCCTTTTGTTCTGTTACAAAAAATGCACTCTTAAGTAGTTCTGTCCAATTAGGTGGTTTAAGGACCATCCTGGATTTGGAATGTGAGAGTCTAATGAATCCTTATCCTGGAAGTCACCTTGCTTAATTGGTTCAGAATCCAAGTGCTGGTTAAAGTGTGATGTGGAATCTCACGCCTTTCTGTGTTTCCTTCTGAACCAATAAACTAGAGCGTACCAGGTGTCCACTTAACGCAAAAGATCTTATTTCTTTCATTCCTTTTGTAGTAAAACTTGCTCAAAAGTTTACGAAGTTTCAGTAACTGAGGCAGAATCCATTGGAATAATGGAGGGCAAGTTTGAAAGTAAAGTTGATAAGTAAATTACAGTACAGAGAAGCACTGGTCTCTATTTTTTTGATCACAGATTATCTCCCAAAACCTCTCTCCTGAATTGATGATGGCCATAAGCTGCAGGGCCCTGAGGTGTGTCCTCTGGCTCACAGCAACACCTTCTATTTCATGTAACATTTGAAACCTTTATTCCCAGTAGATAAATCCTTCATAGATCATACTGTTTCATTGTTTTCACTCTGCTGTGCAGGCTTAAGTGCGTTAGTTATGTACCTTATGTCCATGGGTAAGGTTAATGAAGATGACTGCATGGCAGCACGTGTGTACTCTTGCTAATAAAGCTGTGCTCATTATCACGTTTGTACTCATGATTGACTTTGCTCTTACAACCAGGGGAGACTATTTACGATGCTGCAAGATCTGTTATCCCCTCTGTGCTTTTGTCATCCTTGCTGCCTGTGTTGTGGCCTGTGTTGGCTTGGTGTGGATGCAAATTGCTCTCAAGGAAGATCTAGATGCCCTCAAGGAAAAATTTAGAACAAGTAAGTGACTACTCTTCATAATGTCTTAGAATCTTTTTTTTATTTTAGGACACAATAGACCATGCTACATTAAACATTTTGCCTATACATTTTCTTAGCTACCAATTTTAAGGCTGTAACAATTATTTGTTTTTAAACCCACAAACAAAAAATAATGTTTATATACCACAAGATAAATCAAGTCTGAAATCATGGCGTTGAGATTAGAGTGGAGAGTGCAGCAAAGGAGAGCTGTGGTCTAGGAGTCCAAAGCTTGCTTACCACCACTTGTGGCTTTCCCATATATAAAGTTGACAGTGGCAACACTGGACTCATGGGCATGCTTGTCAAAATATTTTTCTCCTTAAGATAAACAGTCAGTATAGGAACACATAGGAATGGTTAATGATAAAGAAGAGGAAGCTTTGTGAAATGCTTAGGTTGTGCCAAGTTACAAATCACTATTCCCAATGACTTTGTAGGCCTACAAACTCTTTTAAAGTGCCCACAGATCTCTTTGATACCAACTTGGATCAATAATCTAAGAACATTCAGTAAGAGGGTTTAAAAATAGAGGTTTTCTGAGTATCGGTTTTAAGTTTAAAGGAAGATGAGATTTCTCTGCTATCCTTCTTGTTGTATGCCTTTAAGTTGGAATCTGACAGGAGAAGCTTGCCCATCCTTCTGTGGACCAGCTGGTGGATTAGAACCATGTACCTTTGGGATTGCAGCCATAGCTTCTTACCACTAGTCCACCAGAGCTCCCCCAGCTATCTTTAGCTGTGCTTATATTTGTGGTTTCAAGGAAAAAAGAACTTTAGATACCATTAGTAAGTATTACCATTTTAAAGTTTCACAAAATATTTGTGATTCTTTAAATTAAATTACATATTAATGAATGGCTTATAGTAATGCTCATAGTACTTGCCTAATAGTGTACAAGTGGCAGAAATATTTGTACCATGAAGAGTTTCAAAGTTTAATGGGCTCTTCTTTTTTTTCCACATATTTCAAATTATATTTTACCATCCAATCTACTTTTTCCTGAAAGATTTCTTTGCCTAGAATCTTCAATCAGGAAGCTCTAATAGCCTAATGGGAAAGGAGTTGCTCTGGAACTCAAAGGCAGGTGATTCAAATCCATTAGGAGAAAAGGGGGCAATGTCCTCCCATGTAATACTCCCCCCCATAGGTCTGTTTGCTTAGGAGCTTCAACCAGGTTTAATCTAAACATCTTCCTTTCGCAACACTGAGACATTTGATTCTAAATTTTAGAGATTCTGAATTTTAGAGATTAATTTTATGTTAAGAAACCAGTTTCAACTTAATCACAGGAACCCTCATAGCATCCATTTTTCCCTTTACCCCAATTTCTTTACTAACTGCAGTTATTCAAGTTCTGAACCTAAGTAGGTACATTTCATCCTCAGCTAATGTATTAATCACATTGCCAGTGGTGTTGCTTGGAAAAAAATGTTGAAATACTAACTTTAGTTTTCTTTTCTGAGCTACTGAGTCAGTGGGTAGGAATGAAAAAGAGATAATTCTCAAACAGAATCATCCTGACCTCTATATTCTATCCACTGCTTGAATCAGAATACAGAATGAAAAAGCATAATATTTGTATTCTAGGTTTTATCCTCTTTGATGTTTGTCCTTAGCAGCACTGCACAATGTATTTAAGGCCAGTGTTTTCTTTGTAATGTAAGTTGTGACCATAAGTTGGGAATGAGGTTCTCAGAAACGCTATTTCATTTATAAATAATCATTGAAGACACCTGTTCATACCATCATTTCTTTGTTATTAGTTGGGCCTCTTGAGCTTATGGTATAGCTTGTTTTTATCACATATAGCTATTATTCATAAATTTCAAAACATCACAAAATTCTGCCCTCCAGGGGTACTTTTCTGTTACTGTTCTGTGTTTGTGTTTATGGAAAACTTTGCTGAACTTTGCAAGAATATCTTTGTTTATAAATTCATATTTAAAATGTAATAGATGTTACACTCAGTCAACAAATATTTATTGAGCAGCTATTAATACAAATACCTAGAAACATTATTTTCAGGAGAAACACCTGGCCCATGAGACCAGCCTTCTATCCCTGAGCCTTATTTCCTTAAGACTCTGACCCTGTCGGTCACCCAGCTGAACGAATCATATTTGGAAGTGTCAGTTTAGCTACTTTGTTGGCTTTGGTTGCTATAATAGAAATGCCAACACCTGGAATGTTTATAAGTAGGGTTTCTTCCTGATGGAGGAAAGGGGATGAGTCTGGAACAGAGACCATAATCGGAACCATTGTGGGCCACTTGCTCCAAAGTGTTTTGTACTGATCCGACTCTATTAAGCTTAATGATCTTTCTTTAAATTATGCATCTACTTTAAATTAAATGTATTTTATATTTTCCTTTCTTTTTTGAGAGGACCGTAGAAGTTACTTACTCGGTATTGCTTACTTGTCTGACTTTACTCTTTTTTTGATAATTTCAGACTTGTTTATTCTCAGTAAATTTTCCAAGACACTTATGAGAAGGTTACTTAGATATTTAACCTAGAAAGCAAAGCAAATAGGCTATAGGTATTTTTCCTTGATTTTTAAACCAAAGGTATTAAGACTTTTAGCTCAATATTCTTTTCTAGAACCAAGTATTTCAAAAGAACTTGGTGTTATTTTAAGGAAGATATTTGTCTCAACACTACCTCTGTCACTCAACTATGAAACATTTTGTTTTTAGGTGCTATCAAGTTATCTATAATTCATAAAACTGTAGGGAAAGAGGGAAAAAATTTCAAAGAGAAGGGAAAATGCTAGTAAGTCAAGCATCTCCTTTTCTGGTTGTGCAGATAATAATTTAATGAATGACAACAGATTGGTGCAAAAATAAAAGATGAAATTTGGTCATTAAAAATATTCTTGTACTAATGAAGGCAATAGAATGCATTTACCTATGACAGCTATAGTATGCTAGATAGAAGACACATCCTATGAGCAAAATCCTGGGTTGCTCATTACTAGCTATCAAACTTGAAACAAGTCACTTAATCTTTGAGTCACCATTTTCCCCTTAAAAAAAAATACCTATGTGTGTGTGTGTATGTATTTGTTCTACTGGAGCATTTTGGTCATTCTTTATCATAAATCTATCACACTGTGTAATAGTTGTATGGCCACATCTCATGCTCTATTAGAGACCTTTGAGGTTGCTTTAATATCCTAGTGCCTACTGTAAGGCTAAGGAGTTCTGGGGGCCTAGTGGTAAAGAGTTGTTCTGCCAACCCAAAAGTGCTTGGTTGAAATCTACCAGCTGCTCCGTGGGAGAAACATGGGCCATATCCTCCCATGCAGTTTACTGCCCCTGAAAAGCTGCTGAAGGGTCAGCTATGAGTCGCTTCCAACTTGATGGTAACTAGCAACAACATCAGTGCAAAGCTAAGAGGCTCTGGTCTCCTAATGAGTAAGAAGTTGCACTGCCAACCCAAGGCAGGTATTTTTAATCTCACAGTTGCTCTGTGGAAACAAAGCAGTCTCCTCCCATGCAATTTATAACTTCTGTAATCCACTGGAAGGTTAGTTATAAGTCAGTTATGATCCAACAGCAATGAGTAGTAGTCGTGCAAGACTGGGCACATAGTGATAGCTTAGTAACAAGTTGATGAATAATAATTACATTAATATTCATTGTGAACTCTAAAAGGTTAGGAAATGTTTCTATGGCATTTATGTATTCTGTCAAAAAGGGTATATGCTGAAATCTCCATTTCCTGATCTCAAACATCAGAAAAAAACTAGCTGTGTTTAGTATTAACATACTAAATTTTAAATGAGTTGCTTTCCTTGCTGAGAGAGCATGAGTTAGTAATCATAAATTGTTTGCCCCACTTCCTCCTATTTATGTAATAAAAATTTCTCTTCCTGACTTGTCTCCTAAAAAGCACCAACATCAGATGATTGTGGTCCCTTGTTGAGTCCCACAATCCTTAGTATCCATAGTACCTTCACAGCTTGTTGGCTTTATATATTTATTAGTTAATAACCATACCTGAGTTATTTATGTTTGTTTTATTTCCTTCCTTTCTTCTGCTTAATTGGTATAGATTACAAGAAGGAATGAGATTTCCCCTCCTCTCATGGGATATTTGACCACCTAACAACAGCAGGATGAAGTTTTTTAATATCGTTAACTAAAAATGTTTAAGAAACTCAGAAGACTAAGTGCTGCATTATTTTAGGCTTGTTAAGAAACTGTTCTTACTTTATGAAATGTGTTCCTGCATTTATAAATCAAGTGATACATTAAAAACATTTCCAAAATTCACTGCCGCCTAGTCAGTTCCAATTCATAGCACCTTCCATTGAGCTTTCAAGGCTGCAAATATTTGTGAGAGAAGACTTCCCATTTTTCTTCCAAAGAGCAGCTGGTGAATTAGTTGATGGCTTCAAACCTATGATGTTTCAGTTACTGTAACATGTGACACCTTGTTCTTCCAGAGCACCTTTAAAAGCTCTTAGGGAGGTCTCTTATTTTTAAATAAGTCTTTTGATGTCTATTATTAGGAAATTAATGAAAAAATTTTAATTTGTTTTTATAATTCTGAAGTTTTTATAATAGATTTTATTAAAGCAATGGTATTTTTTTATTTATTAGCACCATCACCTACAATGTTATTTTTGCTGCTGCTAGCGTAATTTTATTTTTTTTTATTTTCTTAAATAGCAGTAATAATAATTCCATTTCACACCCTGTTGTTATTTTGCTGGAAAGTATGTGAATGCTTTTGTGTTCTTGGCACTGTACTGGGCACTGAGAATACAACAACAAGTAAAGACTTAATTTTGTCCTCAAACAGTTCACTGTCAGGAGAGAGAGCCGAGTCAAGAATTTACAGCACAGGGTATTAAATGCCTGATAGAATATGGAGTCCTGGTAACTCAGTTTTTAAATTCTCTTCTAACCAAAAAGTCAGGAGTTTGAATTCGCTAGCCGAACCTGGAAAAGGATGTGACAGTCTGCTTCTATAAAGATGATAGCCTGGTAAATCCTGTGAAACAGTTCCACTTTATCCTTACGGGGTAGTTATGAGTCAGAATCAACATGATGGCAAAAGGTTTAGAATTCAGAGTTGTGAGGCCCTCTTGGTCCAAGGTAGAGGTGTAGCTGTTTGAGTCAAAACCTGAAAGGAATTAACTAGACTACTGTAATAGAAATGAAGAAGGGACAGGGCAAGGGCATCCAGGCAGAAAAATAGCTTGTGCAGGGTCATTGTGGTTTAAAGAGCTTGGAATGTTCGAATCAGCTTGGCACAAAAGGACATTGAAGAGATAGAGTGGTGAAAAATGTGGTTCAGAGGTAAGCAAAGGTCAGATTTATTCAGTCAGTAAATATTTATTGAGTGCCTACAATGTGCCAAGTGTATTCTAAATGCTGACTATTCAGAAACAAAGTTTTAGAACTTAGATTTTAATGAATCATTTTATACTAGTCCTTCATGCCAGTTTCTGCTTTCTCATTTTTAGTTATAACTAATCAGTCTTTGGCTTTTAAACAATGAGTTTGATTTTAACCTCAGCTATTGTTAATGTTTTTCATGAAAAGGAAAAATGTTCTTAAGAGAAAAGGATACTGTTTTCAAGCTGTCAAATATTTAAACCATAAGTCTTCACTGACTAATCAAAAAGTCCCTTAATTGAGCTTATCAGTGTTTTTCATTTATTGTATACTTAATTAACTGTGTTATGTGCTATCTCTCACTTCATTCTAAAAACCTTATGAGGTACATTTTATTTCTATATTACTATTGTAGAAACTAAACTCAAAGATTTTAAGTAATTTGCTCAGGATTATAGCTAATATGTTAGAGAATTTATATTCAAATCCAGTTTATTCTGACCATGTTCTTTGGTATTAACTTTTGATGAACTTTAACCAGAGTTACAGTAGTGAAATTTAAAAAAAAAAGGTTATAAAAACATTTCCATCCAGTTGATTCCAACTCATAGTGACCAAAAAGGACAGATTAGAACTGCCCTGTAAGATTTCCAAGACTGTGAGATTTACAGAAACAAATTGCCACATCTTTCTCACACAGAGGAATTGGTGGGTTTGAACCTCATACCTTTTGGTTAACAGCTGAATGTTTAACCACTGCACCACCAGGGCTCCTTAGTAATGAAATATCAAACTAAAAACCCACCACTATTTAGTCAGTTTTAACTCATAGTGATTCTGTAGATTACATAAACTGCCCCGTAGGGTTTCGGAGGCTGTTAATTTTATGGAAACTAACTGCCACATCATGCTACCAAGGAGCAGCTGATAGGTTTGACCCCTGATCTTTTAGTTAGCAACCAGCCACTCAATTACTGTGCCCCAGCCCTCCTCGTAGTAAAATAGCCTCAGTTAAAATGGAGCTTTTGTTTTAAAAGAAAATACTTGCTTAAATAAGAGATGATACAATAATATATAAATTAGTATCCCCCCCAAAGTAGCTTTTATTAATCCTTCTTTCTGCTCTGAAGTAATTTTTGTTTTGTTTTGTCTTTTATCTTGATGCTATGAAGAAAGTTTGTGACTATGATTGTTCATGTTCTTACTTTTAGTGGAATCTAATCAGAAAAGTTCATTCCAAGAAATTCCTAAAATTAATGAAGAACTACTCGACAAACAAAAACAGCTTGAGAAGATTGAATCTGGAGAGCTGGGCTTGAGCAAAGTCTGGATAAACATCACAGAAATTAATAAGCAGGTAGTAAAAGTATGATATTTCTTTGTAAGCCATAAATATTTAGGGGTTTGTGGGTGTTTTTTTTAGTTTTGTTGTTGTTTTTTTTTTTTCTTGTTGGTATGTACCATCGAATCAGATCCGACTGCCGTAAGGGGAGATTGCCCTTCCTTCTGTAGCAGAGCATCTGGTGGATTTGAACTGTGTGCCTTTAGGATTGCAGCTCAGCTTCTTGCCACTAGGCCACCAGAACGCCCTTAAATATTTAGTGTTGGTTTTGTTTGTTTTGGTATTATTTTCTAGATGTAGAGGACTCATTTCAGAGTGTTTTCTTTTTTTACACGAATATGTGAAAAAAATGTCCTATGTAATATCCCAACACAATAGTATATATTTACTAAACAATTAAAATGTTAATCCTTTCCACACAGAAACAGAGTTTCTTTATCCAGGCGAACAAATCTAATGTAGAAACTTTTTTAGTCTCTAAATTGTCCATAACTTTGATTCTGAAAGAACTCTGCAACAGAAGAGAGGCTGTTCGTAAATCTCACAGGAGAAGAATGTGCATCATTCTCCCACAGAACCACTGGTGAATTCAAACCGTAAGAAAGGCACTACCTTTGGTTTAGCAGCACAGTTCCCTGTGGACTTCACCACTAGAGTTCCCTGTTGATTATTTCCTATGTTTGTAGTGCTATTAGTTGCCACCCAGTAACTTTAATCCCTGTTCTCAGTTTTCACTTATTTAAGGCATGTGCTAAATAATGGGTGGGAGGAGGGCAGGAATCAATTCAAGTAAAGAGAGAAACCATATGCATAGTACATTTGCAAAGTACCTAAAAATAGCCTTGTCATTCTTCTTGGTGCTAAGAGCATATTACACAGTTCAGTCACCTGGTGAAAGGGAGCACTGCTAAATGAAAGTGCTTGCAAAATATTTCTGTACCCATCTTTTGGCAGTAGTGTGAGGATGAGAGGTAGTTTAGCTCTGAAGCCCAGTGATCGATGAATGGTATGGGGTAATTGCTTTCAAATATTCACCTAAAACCTACAATAAGAAATGTTTTACATCTTTACCTGCCAAATTAATGTACAACTGAAATAAAAAATTTCTAAAAGCCATAACTTACCCTTAATCTTTAAAGATGCTTTAAAATATTTTCTTTTGTGTTTTTTAAGAACTATTGATGGAAAATAATTGATGGGCTTTAGCACTTAGCATTTACTGTTGTTGTTGTGTACTGTAGAGTCTGAACCGACCCATAGCTGACCCTCCAGCAGGGTTTTCAGAGGCAGTTAATCACATGAGAGGAAATTGCCCATCCTTTTTCCGCTGGTGGCCTCAAACTGCATACCTTTGGGATAGCAGCACAGCTTTTTCCCTCTAGGCCACCAGAACTCCCATAGAATTTACTTGTAGCCATGCCTTTAAAATTTGGAAGAAAACAGGCATTCACCCCTACTTTTCCAAAATACTGTGGCACTGTTTGCATTCACAAAGCATATGAGCTGTTTCTTTCTTTGTGGATGGACATATGCAGAGAGTCAAAGATTTTCGAATCTTTAGTGCATATATTAGATTCTGAGTTCTTTTTAATCAGGAATCTAGGAACAAATTAATAAGTTGGTTGAATCTAGGAACAAATTAATAAGTTGGTTTTTTTAATCTGACTGTTATCTTTGTTGCAAGAAGTGCTTACGAAAACAAGAATGCAGAAATGTTTCCTTCAGTGCTAGGCCTTCATATCTGAAACTGGGGAAGGCTAACTGAAAATGTTTTGGTTTTGTTTTTGTTTTTTTTAATAATTTTTATTTATTTATTTATTCTTTTTTTATGTGTGTACCGTCAAATTGGATCTGACTGGTACAGGAGGTGATTGTTCCTTCTTCTTCAGCAGAGCATCTGGTGGATTTGAACTGTGCACCTCGGGGATTGCAGTGCAGTTTCCTGCCACTAGGCCTCCAGAGCTCGCCCTGAAAATGTTTTAATTAGCTTCAGTGGACATTCCAAAAGGACTGTTGAAACTAAGTTAATGCAAACGAGTTTTCTGTAGCCTCCCATGATGACAAATAGTGATGAAATAGAGCTTTATAATTGTTTTCAAAGGAAGCTTATTACCCTCCAAGTGGTTTTCTAAAATTATTTATGTTGCTATTTCATGCCAATTTCTAAAATTAATGTTACTCATTTCTTGATGGGCAGTTCAAGTAAGGCTTTTGCCCTAAAGTAGGAATGAAAGTAAAATTAATATTAACCATGTTTATAAATCCAAGGACAGCTATGTCAATTAAGATGCTTTTAGTGGCAAATAAAAAAAGCTTATCATGGCTTGACAAGAATTGCCCTTATCACACTATGTATTTAAGTTAACACCCCCTGAAAGGAAAAGACATCTATTTAAAGGGTTAAAATCTGATTTTGCCTTGAAAGTTTTTTTGGGTTTTTTTTTTTCCATTTTGTTGTTGTTTTTTACCTTGAAAGTTTTTAAGCATTGAAATATCATTTACTTTTCCATTTTATTCATGAAACCATTGATTTCTGTGTCTATTTCTTCTCAATATTATATGGAATCTTCCCCTTTGTTGTTGTTGTTAGGTGCCAACAAGACGAGTACAATTCGTAGCAACCTTATGAACAACAGATCTATACCCTCTCCTATCCCGTGCCATCCTCATCATCTCTGAAATACTGAGTTCATTGCTGCAGTCACTATGACAGTTCAATTCATTGAAGGTCTCCCTCCCTTTCTAAGGAATAACCTCTCCTAGCAACGTAATATAGCCTTCAATGTTAATTGCATCTCAACATCAAGAAACTAAATTTTTACCAATAGACAACATCATGATAGATGGAAAAAAGATTGAAGCAGTCAACAACTTCATCTTACTTGGGTCAAAAACACCCTTGGTACCAGCAGTCCGGCGATCAGGAGACGTATTGCATTGGGAAAGTTTGCAGTCAGGAACCTCTTCAGTTATAGAGGAGCAATAATGTTACTATGAGAATTGAGGTGCGCCTGCTTCATGCCACAGTCTTTTTAGTCTCTTGCTATGTATCTGACAGCTGGACAGTGAATAAGGATGACAGAAGAATTGATGCATTTGCACTATGGTTTTGGAGAAGAGTACTGAATATCCCATGCGTGGCCAAAAGAACAAACATATGTCTTGGAGAAAGTACAACCAGAGTGCTTCTTGGAAGCAAAGATGATAATGCTTCGTTTCACATACTTTGGGCATATTTCTAGGCTATTCCTTGGAGAGGGAGGGACATCATGATTGGAAAGGTGGAGGATCTGTGAAAGAGAGGAAGATCCTCAGTCAGATGCTGATTGACAAAATAACTGCTGCAGTGGACTCAGTGTGTCAGAAATCGTGAGGATAGTACAGGGTTCAGATCTGTTATTCATAGGGTCAGTATGGTTCATACTCAACTTGAAAGCACCTAATGATAACAGTAACATACCCAAAGTATGTGAGACAAAGTTTTGCCATCCTTGTCTGCAAGGAGCGTTCTGGCTGCACTTTTTCCAAGACATATTTGTTTGTTCTTTTGGCAGTCCATGGTATATTCAGTACTTTTTCCCAGTACTATAACTCAAAGGCATTGATGATTTTTCTATCATCTTTACTCATTGTCTAGCTCTCGGATGCAAAGCAAGTGATTGAAAAGCACATGGCCATAATCAGGTGTACCTTAGTCTTCAAACTGACATCATTGCTCCTCAATAGTGATACTCAGAGAATTTTTATCTTTTCTCCATACCTATTCAGTCTGTATCCTGAGTAAATCATTCAAAAAGCTGAACTCTATAATGAATAATCAGGATCAGAGGAAGACTTATCAACAACCTCCTTCTTAGATACCATGAATTCAACAAAGATACATTTTTATAGATACAACTTGGATTCAAAACCAAAAAAGTTGTGATCCTTGTCCTCAAGGTTCTTATAGTCAAATAGAGGAGATAAAAAAAAAGAACACCCACTGTAAAACAGAACATGGTTTTATACAATAGGAAACAAGTTCAAATGTGTACTGTGAAAACATTTATTAGGATGTACTTAATCCAGACTGGCTGGCACAGAGTCCTGAAAGGCAAACAGGAGTAGATTCTATAGACGAAAAGGTCAAAATAGTACTATTTACAAAAACACAGAGAGATGAAAATATAGTGTGTTCATTATAGCTACAATTTGGAAAGGAGCTAGAGATGATAAGTCAGTGAGAGCCATATCAAGAAGGAGCTTGAGTGACCTATGGTACTTGTTGTATTTCTGTCTTACTTGAAAATACAATATATGATAGTTATTTTTGCATACATATAATTATACTAGAAGGTTGAACATTGAACTCTGAGCCTTACATATATTGATAAGAATCATGTTTGTGGTAGCTTTGAAGATGTAACCTGCTGTTCATTAAATTACTTCTCTGTATAAGGTACAGTTAGATTCTTTATGTAATTTCCCTTAGTCATTTTTATAACTCTGTGAAAAGTGAGCTCTGGTGGCCTAGTAGTTAGAGAATTGTGCTCTCAACCCAAAGGCAAATGGTTTGAACCCACCAGCTGCTCCACAGGAGGAAGATGGCAGGCAGTCTCCTCTGATGAGATTTACAGCCTCTTCAAGCTCACTGAAGGGTCAACTATTAATCAGTTCCAGCTGTACAGTAATGAATTGAGTGAAGTAAGAGATGGCATATCCATTTTACAGATAAGAAAACTTGGACTGAAAGAAGTTAGGTGATTTGCCCACAGTCACTACTAACACTGTAGCAGTGCTAATGTTGAAATATTCAAGTCTTCGGAGTCTAGGCTCTGTCCGGTTTTCCATTCTACCTCCCATCTATGTATTCCCTATATGATTCAGTGGGCTTTTAATGCCTAGATACATGTTGACATGATGTGATGCCAGGTACCCTCTAAGTCTCAGTTATTTGTCATTGATGATTGTTTTAACAACTTTTTCCTTTCTGTTTAAAGAGCACTTCATTTCAACCTCAAAGCAAAAAGCACTGT